TTCTTAAATAAACTGCTGCACAGATTAACTTTATATTCTGATATTATTAGCTACACTTAGATAGGGTTTGCACATGAAATATATACAAATTTTGAAATAATATGTATTGAAATTACAAAATTTTGAGCAAATCAGAGCCCCTGCGAATTAAAATAACATGCATGTCTGAAACTGCATATTTGTTTTTGTGTTGTGAACATTTTAATTTCCATTAACACAGATTTAGGTAGTTTACAGGCCGGCAAAGCATTATCGGAGTAATAGTTCAGACAGAAGACTATAAGTTGCCTTACCATGACCTCAATATAGTACTTACTGGTGAGAACAAGGAAGCAATGTTATACCTTGCTTTAATTCTGTGTTCTATATGTTAAACCCTTGAACAATCTAAAAGGCAAGCAGATCTGAAAATAAATTAATGCATACGCATACACACATGCACTGTTTATATGATTACCAGGTAGTCTCACTTTGGTTTACATCCACAGGGCTATTTACTAACTGTAAGAAATACACAATGAAATTACAAAATGCAGGGAAAAGAAAACACCCTGGAACAATTCTCCAGCTCATGTTTTCCAATTTGGGTCATTTAACATAGAGTTTATAATTTCCCAGTGAGTTCCCGACAACGAGATCCCCAAGACACACTTCTGAGAAGCACAATTGAAGATTTAAAATACTTTTCACGTCTCAGAAGTTACACAACAGATGAGCGACTGAGATGTCTATAATATTTAAAGAGACGTGAAGACACATTTAGTAGGATCTCGGTGGGGGGGGGAGGGGGTTTCCCTCATGTAACAGCTTCATCTTCTACATCTCAATTTTAAGGTGCTACTTGTTATTCCGCCAAGTCCTTGACTAGTTTGCAGATGTCGATAATAAAAAGCAAGTAGAAGAATTGCTCCCTCACTGAGTATTATATTGTGGGACTGATCACTGGACTGGCACATTATTTTATCCTTGACAGACACATGTTTGACAGTTACTTTTAATCTCAGTAAACACTATTATATTTTAATAACTTACTCTGCATCCTGAAAAAAGGAAGTGACTTGAAAAAGTTGGAAGCCATACTTGACAGCCAATCAGCATGATGAGCACGATAACTTGATCATCAGTTCATGTAAGTTTCATTTTGATGCAATCAGTTATGGATTTGGGGTAAAGGAGGCGCTCTAGGGCAATTGTTCCACCCGAGAAGCCATGATCAGGTGTATGTATGGATTTGGGTTAGGTATTTGCCATTGTATGCATGTTGATATGTGTTTGCATCTGAGTTTGTGTAGATGTATACATTCACTTTTCCAAATCCAGTAGAGCACCTCCCGAGTTCAGGCTCTAGAATGGCCACCTGATTAAAAAATCTGTTTTATACAGTCAGAAGCTTTGTCAATAGCTCTAGAATATGTACCAGCTTCAAGAGCCTGTTTGCAAGGGATCTTCATAGTTCGCTCCCAATTTTGATATGTTAATGAGAAAAGTTAATGATATATATAGCATGCAAGACCTTTGGTTCTAGATTGACTTCCCACTCATGATAGGGTTTGGCTTTCTTGGAGAGTATACTTAAGTCCTACTAAGGTTTATTGATATACAGTATACTACATGGATACATGGATTGTTACTTGGAAGGGGACACTTTCTGACATATATTATATCAATGGTCAACTCCTCGGTACCTGTTTGTGGTCCCTCTAAATACCCCCCGTCCCCCACCGTTACACACACTTTATTCCACTATTTTTTTTCTATTCTCTATTTGCTTGTAATGTTATTACTTTCTTGTAATAGTTTGTGTTTTATGCTTTATACAGTTTGTTAATGTTGAGTACTCTAAATGTTTTGTCATTATGTACATGGTCATTTTAGGTGTACTTAAAGGACCACTATAGGCACCCATACTACTTCAGCTCAATGAAGTGGTCTGGTGCCAGGTTCATCTAGGGTTAACCCTGCAGTTGTAAACATAGCAGTTTCAGAGAAACTGCTATGTTTACATTAGGATTAATCCAGCCTCTATTGGCTGTCTCATTGACAGCCGCTAGAGGCGCCTCCGCGCTGCTCACTATGAAAATCACAGTGAGAAGACGCTGACGTCCATAGGAAAGCATTGAGAAATGGATAGCGCCGGCTCTGCATGAGCCGACAGGGGAGATCCTGAGATCTCCCCTGCCGGTCTCAATATACATAGACTTGCCGCGGGGATTAGGGTGTGCCCAGGCACACCCGGCACACCCCATGTGCACGCCTATGATCTTAACATTGTTCAGGCATGCATGTCAATTACACATTTTTTTCCGAAAGTATGGGGGGGCAGAACATATTATTAGATATAATGAAAAACTAAAAAACTGTGGGGTCACAATTCTAATAAACCATTTTGTTATATTGAGTGCAGGTAGGGCCCTGTGAAGCAAATTCTGTGGCAGGCCCAGGGTTCTCTGCATGGTTTCTCCAGCCATGATATCTCGGATGGGTAGCTGGGTGTCACCGTGGGACACATAGAGTGTGTGAGATGGAGTCCATGTGTAGCAGATCTTATGCATCCGCAGGATCATGGTGAGAGGGTGAAGAGAACGTCTTGAAGCCAAGGTACAAAGAAGGTGAGTTGCATGGATTCAAAGTTGAGAGCAGATCTCTCCCTAGCAGCTGTGGCGACAATGGTGCCGGATTCAAACTGGACCACCACGTCGCGTGTCGCTGTTGCGGGTGCTCTAGCCGGTTTTGGGAGCCTGAAGAAGCCCTCTAGCTGTATCATCTTGGCTTGCTTAGGAGTGAGTAAATCTGTGAAGAGCCTTCTTAGGAGATGAGGCAATTCAGCTGCTTCAATTTCATATTATATACCTCTTATCTTGTGGTTATTTTTGCGTTGTGCGTCTTCGAGAGCAGCTATTCGTCTTTCCTGGGTCTCCAGGGTATGCTGTACCTCTTGGGATGATTTCTCCACGGTCGTGAGCCATGGTGCGAGTTCGCTCGGGATTTGTTCCACTGCTTGGAGCAGACCTGTGAGGTCTGATCTTATTGCCGCCACATCCATTTGCAGTGTGGTTTGCAGTTCAGCTAGCAAAGCCTTCAGCACCGCTGTTGTGACTTGCAAGGAATCTGTCTGCTGCGGTGCATTAGCTGCTTGTGGCCTTGGAGGCAAAGGATCATCCTCCTTGTCGAGTTAAATTTCCTCCGAGGAGTCTGTGTAGCCTAGAAGGGAGTTCCCGGTAGGCCCAGCTTCTGGCCTGTCTGTAGAGATCTTTGATATTACCCCCCAGTCTGGGTTTAATCCGATCGGGGATTCTTGGATTTGCGAGCCATCTCCTTTCAAACCGGGCTAGGTCACAATATTTCCTCAATTGGAGGTGTACTTTAGTGGAAAGCCAAAATATCTTCGTGCTTTAAAAATATCTTGTTTAAGCACGAAGCTGAGGGAACACGCATCCATTCACTGCAAAGGGTAGGCTTCGCCCTCTGTTAGCACATCTTTTAAGCAGATCTTCTCTGGAACTGCACTGTTGGCACCAGTCAGTATCAAGACTGCCCTCTTATAAATGTTACTGATTATTATTATTATTATTTTATTATTTATATAGCGCCAACAAATTCCGTAGCGCTGTACAATGGGTGGACTAACAGACACATAATTGAGATCAGACCACTGACGTACAGGAACAGAGGGGGTTGAGGGCCCTGCTCGATGAGCTTACATGCTAGAGGGAGTGGGGTATAGTGACACAAAGGGTTAAAGTAGGGGAATTAAATAGTTTGTTACAGAAGGGTTTATTGAGTGCTTGGTAGGTCATTTTTGACAGGTGAAGGAACGGAGTCAGTACTGATAAACTAGTTTGCAAACTCAACAAAAGTGAGTGCTACCATAAATTAGAAATGCTAATTATCTGGAATTAGAAAATTATCTGTAAAATCGTAGAGCATTTTAATCTAAATAGTGGTAAATAAAAATAAATCTTTCTTGAACAAAAATATTACTCTATTAGCTGCTACTAACCTGTTGTGTGTAATTTGCACATTCACTTGGCTTGAATTAAAAAAACATTCCAAGTGTCAACAACATTTTAAATATTTTTTTATATTATTTCTTCAGTATAGAGTAGCTTGAAATGACTTACATTACCATTAACACATTATACTCAGATAAGCTTGGTAATTGTTTGGATGAAACTTGCATTATTTTGTTGTATTTTATTTTACTATTTTTTTCAACTCTATCAGTAAAAGAATCTCATCAAAACCAAGTACATTCCATAACATGATACATTTGAATGAATATGTGCCTAGTAAAAGTGTTTATGAACAAAGAACTCTCTTCTTTTAAGTGTGCTTTGGAAATTCTTCTATCATCCACGAGTGTCTTGGTCCAAAAAAAAGGGTTTGAAAACACTGCTCGAGACTAAAATATTTACTCTCTGAGACTCATGGGCCAGTATCAGCCGTAAAGAGTCTTGGTATGGATCCCATCCTATCTGAAAACCGCATAATTCCTAATGTGTGACATCATTAATTGAATGGTAGAAGACACTATATGCTTCTAAATGGGATACAGCCTTCCATATTAAACTGTTGGCCAATATTGCTGTCTGGAGATACAGCACACATTTTAGCTCATGTGCTAAAGATTCCAAACACAAAATGTTCCTCACTTTATTTAAAAGAAACTGTAATATAAATCTGATCACACTCCTTGAGGTTGATCTGTTTTGTTACAGGTAAAAAGTCATCCCTCTCAGCAGTCCAGGTAAGCTAATTTTGGAGATGCCTTATATATTTAGGCAGAAACTGTGAATCCAAAGTAGTCTCAAAATGTGTTTCGGCTCAAAAGACCTATTGGCACCAAACTTTCCCTTGAGAACCCTTGAGATAGTTTCTACAACCACGTACATTTTTTTTTTTTAAAGTTACCCCATGTGTTTTTTACCATTCTGAACTGGAACACACCTGGGTCTGATATTTTCATTGAGATGAACCAATACAAAAATGACTCAAGATGATTGTTACTGTATGCTTGGAAAACATAATTTATTGTGACAAAAATATTTTATAACATAATAACTTAGCATAGTATGAACAAAGTTGAAGTATTCTCTTTCAGATTCCGACTTATACAATTGTATGTCAAAATTCACAATAATCTGTCTAATGTGCCAAAAATCCAAAGCCAAAACTGTTGTCAGATCAAGCAACAAAGGCTTCTTCGAGAAGATGTCGAATTAAGAGAATCAATATAAAGCATATACTTCACTTTAATCTATTCATACAGTCATCACATACATTGCATATTTAGGCTGCACCTTTAAAGTAATGGAAAACGGAAATTCTGAAAAAAAGGACTTTAAAAAATATATATACAAAATAGTATTTTCCTAAAGAAATCTTCATTATATGTTTTAGAAAAGAAATGTGTTTATCGGACATAAAACCTGTGTGGGGCTAAAATTCCTAACACACATTGCAGCAAGATGGTTCAAGCTCAGATCTGATTGGTAATTCGTAGCTCTAAGCCAAAAGCGAGATTGCAAAGGACGTTTTTTAACCGGGTGATCAAAACTGAATTGACATTTAGTTTAAATGTTATCAGCGTTCGGAATGTTACTCAATTCGTGTCATCAGACTTAATCTGATGCATTTAAAGTCCTGTCAACCAAAAGTTATACTCATAGAACCAAGAAATAATAAGTACATTTAGTACCGTGGCTGTGTTTTAGGCACGGAGAGAGGGATGTTACAAACAGGACAAGAATCCTAAAAACGCATTGAGCCAGCATATGCTGAATTGCTCATCTTGAATTTTTTAAGCTGAACATCTGAATATTCTGAATAATAGATATTTTGCATTTGATGCACATGTGCATATCATTTTATCTCACTTACTTGGTGAATGTGCATACAAGGGTCGAAATTTAACCAACATTATCTGCTATTTTCAGCCAGGTTATTTAGTTTAACAATATACTGTACCATATATTTACAGTAGCATTTATTTTACTGGATATTTAAATATTGATAGGGGTATACATTAATCAGATCTTATTTTATTAACAATTAGTGTTTTACCGTGTGAAGATATATATTGCTTATTGTTCATGTCACAAATTCTATGCACTTTATGCTTTTTAGGGCCTTAGGTATAAGATAACAGTTTAGAAATAGTTAACAGGGAGGAATAATACACAATAAATTAGAAAAATAGGGTATTAAAAATATTAGTGTCCAATTATGCGTATTAAGAAATTGTAAGTACTTTGACCAAATGTTAACTTGGTTTTTAATTTTAGAAAACCCTAAAATTATGAGATAAGTTATTTGCTCTTAAAAATAAAAATGTAAAATGCTAAATGTACACATGTCAACAGGAAATTAGACATACAACAAAAGAAATCCAAATGAGGTCACAATGGCATTTGCACCTTTTTAAAGCAGAAAAAAAAGAAAATAAAATCCAACCGATGTAATGTAAGCTGGCCTACAATTTGCATATTTTTAAACAAATTCATAATTTAGTGAATTATAGTGTACTAAACTAAATTTTTCATTGACTTGTACAGTTTCGTAGTCAAATAATATGGTAGTGTCTGTTACGATCGTGATCTAAGACAGTAACGATATATGAATGCTTAAAATTATTAAGTCAACTCTTAAAAAAAACCTTGAAGTTACTCATGGACTAAAGAGCAACACATTTGGTTAGAAAAAAGGTTTATAGTGTTATTTCACTTTTAGAAATAACCCTTTAACGTATACTATGAATTCCAGTAAAACAATCCCAATGGCAAAATTTAGGTTATGATAGCTAATTTAGGAAATATTCCAAGTAAGCCATAGTCAGGTTATTTTAAATACATAAAGGGGATCAACACAGTAAAGGAGTAAACTATATTTAAAAGAAAAACTACCACAACAAGAGGACATAGTCTTAAATTAGGCAAAGGTTTAAAAATAATATTAGGAAGTATTACTTTACTGAGAGGGTAGTGGATGCATGGAATAGCCTTCCAGCTGAAGTGATAGAGGCTAACACAGTGAATGAGTTTAAGCATGCGTGGGATAGGCATAAGGCTATCCTAACTATAAGGCCAGGGACTAATGAAAGTATTTAGAAAATTGGGCAGACTAGATGGGCCGAATGATTTTTATCTGCCGTCACATTCTATGTTTCTAACTTTGCCATTTCAGTTTACTACAATTTAGAATTTAGTTAATACCAGGTGTCTCTGTAATGATCAAAACTGCTCAGTTTAGTACCAAATATTATTAGTAACTACACATACCAAGTGTTTATCATTTTTAAAAAAAATCAACATTGATTTATGCTTTTTTGTTGTTAAAAAACAAGTGAATATGTGTATAATCTTGAATACGGAATTAATAAGTCGTTTATAGAATAATTTCCTCTTTCTTACTAAGAGCAAAATTCTGGATCATGGCTTCAAATTATTTCTCTCAAGATAATATTGATACAATATTTTTTTATACATCACATTGAAACAAACACAGTGTAAAATTACTATTCCTTCATTAACTGGAAATAATATTATTGGGAATATTATTTTACGTTGATTTATGTAAAGAAATTTTCAGTGACCTTTAACCCCTTAAGGATACATGACATGTGTGACATGTCATGATTCCCTTTTATTCCAGAAGTTTGGTCCTTAAGGGGTTAAGTCACTTTAAGCATTCTTTCTTTACGGTATGGAAATGTTTGTATTCAAATTGAAATATTTAGCATTTACATTTACTAAATGTTGATCAAAGTAAAACAAGTCTATCTTTCGTTTTGTTAAGTCAGAAGTAAAAGGTGCTCACTACAGGTGTAAAATGGCTCAAGTGCATTCTTCAAACAAGTTATCATCTCACAAGGAACAACTTTGACCAAAGTGCGTAAAATAGTTTAGAAAAAGGTAGAACAAGCCAGAGCTATAAAACAGAACTAGCTGACTTTTCTGACATAAAAATTTAGTTGGAATAAGGTAAGCTTTTGTTTGACCAAAATGGGAACAAAAAGTTATTGTTAATGGCCAATGATGCCCGACAAGACCCAAAAGCGGGAATGTTTAGCTCTTTTTACAGAACTCGTCTAATTCTAAAATCAGGTAATCATATCTGCCCTTCTCCTTCTCCTCCCCAAAGCCACCATCAATCACGGTGATGTGGGGTGGTCTGCTTTAAAACACTAAAATGTTTCTCCTGATTGCTTTACATCTTATTTATTTAGCTAGTTATTCATTTTTGAGCCTGGTCTTATACTTGGGGATTTGTCAATACACATTGGGTATTATATATAAAGAGCACTTGTTGGTCAAAGTTCAAAAAGTAGAGTAAATACTATGGAAACCAATGCGATACTCCTGTCAATTGTTCCACATTTAGAACGTTGCCTTACCATTGCTCTCTACACATATCCTGCATAGATTGTTACTATACATTTTCAGTTAAAGAGAAATCCTTAAACTAACATAAATCTTGCTGCTTGTCAACTGTACTTATAAAGATTATATTTTTTCTCCATTTAATGTAAATAAACTTCAGCCTGAAATGCAGATCAAAGTAGTTCATAACTCATGGAGAAACTGTTGTATATACAATAAAAATACAGCATTGATCGCAGCTGTAATGAGGGATGTGTTAAGGTTAGTTATGTCAAACTTGCTATTCTACAGCACTGCCACAATTAATAATCAGTTCCAGTAATATTTTACTGCAATCATAGAAGGTCATTGAGCCTGAGGTTCGTCAAACCAGGCAGAACTTTGACATTATTGTGTATCCAATGTATGTAATATAACCAGAGATGTATTTGCTAATTGGTCACATAGCTGTGTCTTGTAACCACTGGATATGTATTTTATCACCTCTAGTCTTTCATTCCTTCTTTCGGATTGGTCACCAAAAAACTATATTACCTGCTATGGTAATATGACACTCTGAGGGTTATAAACTAAACTGAGAATTCAACGTGAATTTCAAATTGAAAGCCAAAGTATCCTCCAAACTAAAATAGTAGCGGGCTTAGAGAATTTATTCAGCTCGTCTAGTTTGGCTTTAAATTTGGAATTCACTTTGAACTCTCACTTTGGTAAATAACTCTGCTATGGTAACGTATACGGCAGGACAATAAAAAGGGAAGCATTAGCCTGAGCTGTAATGGGCAGCAGTGATTGGCTGAGGGTATCAGCTGACCTCTATCAGCCTATCACAGTTGCAAACATTTGGTATGACTTGTTAAGGAAGTATGTAATCTCTGCCTTAGTCATCCCTGCAGTGGGGACTGGGCTATGGACAGCCAGAGGCCATCATTCAGTGTTAAACTGCTTGAAAATAGTTTACTTTTGAATGGTGCCAGAAGGTTCCAGGCACCATTCAATAGAGAAATTGTTATAGTGCCTACAGTATTTTTTTTTATGCAAGGCACCTAACTGTCAGTCTGCATTGAAACATACATTGTAGTTGTGTCTTAGACTTGTGCACACCAGAAAAATTTGGGCTGTCCAAATTGATTCGTCTGAGCAAAGAAAACCAAAACCAATTTGATTTGGCCATGTTGCATGTTGGTTTGGATGAGTCTGCCATGCAATAGTTTCAGGAAAAACCATTTGGAGGAACCGAAATGGCACACAACTGTGTCAATCAGTGTAATGGAAATTTTTTTTTTTTTTTAAATCAGCTTCTCTATGTTTCCCCTCTCCCTTTTTCTGATGCCATGGACTGGCTCCAAATCACAAAAGAAATTATATGGCTCTTGCATTGCCATTTTGTACTTGCGAAATTTGGATGAAGTGCCACTCAGTGTGTGTGTAATGCTTGTAGCCTATTCACACAGACCTAACTTACATATCAAATCACAAGTACACATACTCAGCTATTTATACTTTGTTTAAAAAAGCCGTAGTCACACCACTTGCATGTGACTCACACAGCCTTCCTAGACACATCCTGTAAGTGAGATCTAATGTTTGCACTACGTTAATTGTACAGTCTGTTTAATTTAAAATTTCTTAGATCCTTCACGGTCAAGTTTGCTAGACCTTGCAGGAGCCTCCTGCATGCAATTAAAGTTCAATTTACATCAGGGACGTATTAGCCGCGAGGCAAACAAGGCATTTGCCTTGGGCGGCATTTTTCAGGGGGCGGCAAAAAACGCCGCCCCCAAATGCCCAGGGCAAATGCCTAGTTAGCCTCGCGGCTAACAGACATGCCGAGCTGGCGGGTGGCGCTGGCTGCTGGGCGGGTGGCTGGCGAGGGAGCACTTCCTGCGAGTTGACTGCTCAGCTCCCTCGCGTGCCGCAGAGTGAGGCTGGGAGCCGGAAGATGACGTCATATTCTGGCTCCCAGACTCACTCTGCGGCGCGCAAGGGAGCTGAGCAGACCGCTCAGAGGAAGAGCTCCCTTGCCAGCCGCCCGCACAGCAGCCAGCGCCGCCCGCCCAGCAGCCACTGGACCACCAGGAAGAAAGAGACCCCCCCCAGCATTCCCAAAGGTAAGGAAGCTGGAGGGGGGGTTACATAAAAAAAAAAGTGTTAATGTGAGTGATTGTGTGTGTGTTTGACTGTGTGTGTCTGACTGTGTGTGTTTGTGTCTGACTCTGTGTGTGTGTGTTTGATTGTGTGTGTGTGTCTGACTGTGTGTGTGTTTGTGTCTGACTGTGTGTGTGTGTCTAACTGTGTGTGTGTGTGTGTGTGTGTCTGACTGTGTGTGTGTTTGTGTCTGACTGTGTGTGTGTGTTTGTGTCTGACTGTGTGTGTGTGTGTTGTGTCTGACTGTGTGTGTTTGTGTCTGACTGTGTGTGTGTTTGTGCCTGACTGTGTGTGTGTGTTTGTGTCTGACTGTGTGTGTGTGTTTGTGTCTGACTGTGTGTGTGTGTCTGACTGTGTGTGTGTGTGTGTGTGTGTGTGTCTGACTGTGTGTGTGTTTGTGTCTGACTGTGTGTGTGTGTTTGTGTCTGACTGTGTGTGTTTGTGTCTGACTGTGTGTGTGTTTGTGTCTGACTGTGGTGTGTGTGTTTGTGTCTGACTGTGTGTGTGTGTGTGTGTGTGTTTGACTGTGTTTGTGTCTGACTGTGTATGTGTCTGGCTGTGTGTGTGTGTGTTTGTGTCTGACTGTGTGTGTGTTTGTGTCTGACTGTGTGTGTGTGTATTTAGAAGGTGGGGCGGGGGGAAGGGTTGGGTGGGGGTGGCGCGGGGCGCCTGAGTTTTGTCCTGCCTAGGGCAGCACAAAACCAGGATACACCACTGATTTACATAGCAGGAGATAAAATCTTCTAAAGTAAGTTAATGTGTGATTAAAAATTAAACTCTTTTTACATGCAGTAAGTGAGTCACAGCCAGTTTAAGTGAGTTCTGAAAGCCATTAATTAGAAATAAGATATGTTTTTTTTTTATAAAAAAAAAAAGAACTATTTGTCTCATGCAATTAAAGCAAAATGCCATTAAAACAATGCATTTTGGTGTTACGAGAACATAGGGAGGAGATGTTTACACTATGATGCTCTGATTGTGATGATCTACAATTTCACTGAAAACTCACATTTTAGCAAATCCAGAATTTTATTTTTTTTGCTGTCCTGCTATTAGTTCCCTTGCAACAACTTGCAGGTAGGTAGTCTTGCATCGCCTGCTATGGATACAGAAATTTATTTCATAGCTTTGACTTACCAAGAGCTGTAAAGAAAATTAAAGTAAATAAAGCTTTATTTATCATTACAAAACTAACAATAATTGTGTTTATATCTCAAATTTACTTTCTACACAAAACATGACTGACCATGACCTCACTATTTAGCTAGCATTGTTAGAAGGGTAGTGTCATTTCTATGGAATTTACACTACTGAATAAAACATTGAAAACCATCTATAACGTGTGTTAACCTTTTTCATGAGTTTTCTTTAGCAAATAACATCATAATCCAGTCCATACCAGGCAAACATTACAAATGAGAAGGAGAAACAGAAATAGCAATTTCTCCTTTTCTATGCATGCTTTCTTTATTCTGACTGTCAGGTGTGAAGGACAGAGCTGTGGGCTGACCTTGACAGACAGGAAGCTAAGATGGGGGCACCCAGTGGAAGGATAAATAGGTGCGAATTTCTAAATGTAATATTTCACATCTCACAAATACATATTTTTTAAACATAGGGACATGTGAGCATTCAATATAACACAAAGAATCCTGGGAATTGGGAGTTCTCCTTTAAGACATATTTGGATCCATGTAAATCGAGAAAGGACTTACAAATTGATTGAGCAAGGCATTTCAGTGGACTGAAATGTTGATGCTTTCCTGACAAGAGAAGGACATATTTGGGCTATTTTGGAAATGTATGTGAAGAAGGGTAGTTGCTCTGAAATTAGTTGGTCGCCATCACCAGCCTCATACAATATATCTTGATAAATGGTGTATGTACATATACATATTTTTTTAAAGTGTAATATCTTTGGAGCAATTAACATTATTACATTGCACAGTGTTAACGTATCCCAGCAATACCAGTGTTTGAGATCTGCACTTCCCCAGGAGTATTATGGGAAATGCAGTTTACAAACAATTGCAGTGCCACGGTTAGTCATGGCAATCTCATCAGAACAGTACTTGGATGGCAAATCATGCATAATGACTCACTCTCACAAGCTCACCTCCATTTTACTCACTCCGGCATCTGCAGCTAAATTAACATCCAGTAAATAACAGATCTACCACGGAATAAAATTACAAGTTTGGGAAATATAGATGCTCCCAGCGAGGTGACTATCTGCCCTCTTTCCAATTTCCACATTGTTTGGTATGGAATACAAGTATATTTTTTACTCAATTCTGATTCAGTTGTATCTAGTATTCATTCTTTCTAAGGAACAAGGTGTGTCCTATTTCATTCAGAGACAAAACTTGATAACTTGCTTTTAAAGCACAGGTAGGTTTTTTTGTGTGTTTTTTTTTGGGGGGGGGAGGGTTTCTTTAACTCATCTACAAGAATTCCTAGATTACATACAAAAAGAGGCAAATCTTTATGGCAATTCATAATTTAAGGCATAAATATTTGATATCATGCCCACGTTGTAGCTTATTTTTTTATGCAAGGCACGTATGGTAAAAGCAAAGGCAAACACGTTTTACTTAATAGCTGAGTATTTATGCCAATTAGCATAAAATAAGTTAGTATTTTGGTTAAAAATGTAAGACATTAAAATATATATGTCCTGTAGAACCTTGTGAAAAAGGAAAATGTATCTTATACACAGAAGTCCAAGTCTCATGAAACTGGCTGTTTAACAACCAGAATATAAAAAGGTCCTGAGGCAGAACATGCTTTTTGATCACTGTCGCTCAGTTTGGAAGGGCCCATAGATGATGGGTTGGTTAGTCCAGTCATTAATACTGTTGGAGTATCGGAACTTTCACTGTCTTCACTTCTGATATATGTGAAGATTTCTGAATGATACAACTGGTTGTTCCCTGTAGCTTATCTTTGCCTTGGGCAAGGTTCGTTAAAGCCATCGCCGCGTTGATTTCCCTCCAGTAGGTCTCATCTTTGCTGGCTCCTTTTTTATTAACTGCACTAGATTAAATGAAAAAAAAAAAGACATCTCAGTCAGATATTTCAACGTAAATCATTACAGTTTTCCTGAAGCTTTTTTAGAGGAGAAAAGTCAAAACATTTTATAATTGTGGGAAGTAGTCCCACGATGGGTTTGAAGGACAAAGCTGGAAAGTTCATGTAGGAAACTTGTTGATCATCATTCATGAAAAAACAATTTTAACTTATGGATCTAGAACCCATGCTTATGGATGACAGAGGGTCAAATGCTCAGGTCAGATACTTTTAGTTTTAGAGGCAGACCAAATGATCAGGATTTCAAAGGAAAACATCACCCTAGTGATAATGAGCATTCCTATGCTTTGTTGAACACAGTGCCACCATTCTGAAGGCATTACTTAGTGATCCTATTCTTTAGTCAACACATATGCTATTGTTTCAACATAGATCATTAAATATAAATTGTAGAAATCGCTTGTTCAAATTTAGTATCTATCGAGCTGTAAACAATATAGTTTAACAACTTTTACTCTCGATTGCCCAAGAGAAGGAAATGAAATGCCCATTACTGCATTATTGAAATAGGGAGAAGTAGCTGTTACAGGCACGTACAGATAACTTAAAATGTCTGTAAGTGCATCTCGAGTGTACATTATGTCCACCTACTGACATTATTTTTAAATTCTGATGGAACTTTTAGGACACTGCATTTCAAAAAATAAGACCAGATTGCTTAAAGGACAATTAAACAGGACATTTGATAATTTTATTAATTTTATTAAGGACATTTTGTCTCACTTCTTAATTTAAGGCTGCAGAATATGCTGTCAATTCTAAATAATAATATTGCTAAATTTCAGTTTCCAATTCATGTGTTGTACCCCAAAATTTGAAACCCTTTGGACAATTCCCAACACTTTTTGGTTTAGTAAATAACCTTGAGAATATATTTAGTTGTAGCATCACCTATTAAAGAAACACAAATGTAGTGTATTATCTGGTGAAAAAACTTGCCAAAGTCATATAAAAAATAAAATTTTAACCAAACAAAAATATATCCCATCGGCCTCAGTGTTCCGCAGTGCTGGCCCCTAATTCATGCACTCGGTTTTGTGGCAGCACAGACATAAGCAGGCAGATGAAACAGACGTTATTTACACATTTGTTTGTTCTCTTAAGGTATGTTAGAATTTACTCACCTTTGGCACTTATTTGGTCCAGATTCCAAAGTATCTAAAACAAAATAACACTGGATGTTAATAAAAAAGTGTTCATTGTATTAATATATCATTTTTTAAATCATAATATCAAACACATATTAGATGAACCTAAGGGCACACACCTGCGCCAAACAGGAAATAATTGGATGGATACGAGAATAGTATAGCAGGATGCTTCATTCTTATGAGTTTATTCCCCAACAACTTATGATCTTGGGCGTTTACCAAAAATGTGCTCAGTAAAACCTTGGAACAACTAGTTAGCTTTACTCAACAGGGTGCTTGAAGGTACACCCGAATTTCTATGATTTTAGTGAATCATGCCGGCAGTATCCAGTAAATCTGTATTTTTTTTTTATCTGTGTGTGTGTCACAATATGGTAATGGTTAAAATAAAAATAGTCATGTAAAAAAAAAAAGAAAAAAAACAACCATTATTAAGTTTGATTTAGATAAAAATGTTACACGTTGGCTAGAGTTGGCTGATTTGCACAGGATTTGGAGGATAAGTACGTAAACGTAAAACGTCTATTTAGGAGGGACAGTCCTTATTTTGGGCCCAAATCCCACTGTCCCTCTTTTCTGTCCTAATGTTCCTCTTTTCTAGAAGCTCCATACTGTTGGTATAACAGAGCTCCACAGCAATAATACTCACAGTAATGTGTCTTTAAACTACAAGAAATGTGTTTAGAAATCAGTCTGTGTAAATAAGATACATTGCTCCTGTTCTTAATTGCATTGTAGTTTCATAAATTGTTATTAGAAAGTACCCTAACATTTCTCAGAATAGCCAAGCCCCTGGCCACAGCCCCACAAACACTCCTACAATTAAAGTGTCTCTCTTTGGCCCATGAAATGTTGGTGTTTATGCAAAGGCAAATGCTAGGTTTGAATGTAACCAAGAACCAACTCAGTTTTGGAAAGTTCCACCATAAAACAGCGCTCTAAGAGCTTCCTTATTATCATTAACCCCTTAAGGACACATGACACGTGTGACATGTCATGATTCCCTTTTATTCCAGAAGTTTGGTCCTTAAGGGGTTAAAGGAACTCCATGACCCTTTAGGTCCCTCTCCCATCCATGAAAGGTTTAAAAAATAATTTCAGTCACTTACCTGATTCCAGCGCCGATGTCCCAGCTGAGAGGGATTTATTTGTGAAACAATGCTTTCCTTTGGAGGTTTGCTTTACGCTGGATGTTGTCATGCAAAGCATGAGGTCGACCAGCGTCACTTCACGGAGTTAAACTCCATGAAACTCCAGGAAAGGGCAGTTTTAGCTCCGCAATGTAAACATTGCAGTTTCTCTAAAGCATATATGTTTTACATTGCAAGGCTAAAGGGGAAAGGGGCAGTGCACCAGACCACCTCAGTGAGATAAAGTGATCTGGGTGCTTATAGTGTCCCGTTAACTATATATGATAAAAGAAGTTGCACTTTGTGTGTTTTTTTATTATCTGTGTGTTATCTAAAAAAACATTGAAATACTGAAAACAGTGGGGGGAAAAATAACTAAAACAGCATAGTAGAATTTCACCAGTGAAAACTATTTTGCTAAAAGAAAATATACATTTAGTACTATACCAGCTAATGCACTATAAAAAAATTTCTACAAATATTTGCATAATTGTTAAATAAAACCTCAAACTTGTAATTTGATTAATACATTTCCACTAGCGCTAACTGAAAAACAATGTGTGTTTGTGTGTACACACACACACAACATATCAATCTACAGAAAATAATGGATACAAATGTGAATCTTTTACTTTTGTTCCAATTGTTACTGAAAACATTGCCTCTCTCAACGCATCATTTTGAGCCAACTCACTTTTTAGAAAATTATTCCACACAGTTAATGCAATATGGGTTTTCATCCTGTAAACAATTGGTAATACAGATTTTCCACTGTTATGGCTTTTATAAAACATTTTTTTTTTTAAAACCAGCTAAGATAGTAATTGTTTTATGAAAAACACACATGCGTCTGCTTTTGATAAAATGCAATGTAATAGGTGAACAAACTAACACAATAAGTTACACATCATTTCAGATTGTGCCCTGGGACTAATGTTTAAGTGATGTTGTCTATATAACTATCAATCATGATTTGTTTGAGAAGTGATTTAAAGAACAGAAATGTTGTATTCATAAAACTTAACTTTTCCTCTTCTGACAGTGGCTCAAATAATTTATATCTTGTTCACCCTAAATTACTTTTCAGTAATGGCGTCTTTGAGAGAAGAGTAATAAAAAAGGGAGAAAAGGACGAGATATATAGTCCAGAGACAAAGAAGGTGTGCCTACAGTATAAAGTACTTAGAGTGTTTCTTTGGTAGCCCTCTGTATACAAACAAATTAGTACCCTATCTGCTCTAGCTATACATTTTATTCTGTGCCATCTATATATTGTCTGTTCTCCCTACCATTCTTGCCCACCAGCCATCCAAGTCCGGCTCCCTAACATGGATTGTATGTCTTGTCTCGCTGATGTCATACCCATCCCAATATACCATGTGCTGACACACAACACACACTGTGCAAATGTAACAATTTGAGACTGTAGCTCTCTGTTTTGTTTATGTAGAAAAACAAAGACAACAAAAAACAGCTACCATTCACACATACAACCCCCACCCCACCCCCACCACAAAATGTAGTAATTTTGTTTCCAATTCAATATGTAGTGAATCAACAAAAATTACTTAAAATTGAAGGCAACAATGCAAGAAGGGAAAACATTTCACAACGGACTGTTTGGTAAAGATGTAAAAAAAGAAAGCTGAATACAGTTAAGTGACAGATACAGTCTAAGATTGCAAAATAGCAGACTCTAGGCTTACTGTTTAAAGGACCACTATAGGCACCCAGACCATTTCAGCTCAATGAAGTGGTCTGGGTGCCAGGTCCCTCTAGGTTTAAACCTGCCTGCTGTAAACACAGCAGTTTCAGAGAAACTGCTATGTTTACATATGGGTTAATCCAGCCTCTAGTGGCTGTCTCATTGACAGCCGCTAGAGGTGCTTCCGCGCTTTTTACTGTGATTTTCATAGTGAGAAGACGCTGACGTCCATAGGAAAGCTTTGGGAATGCTTTCCTATTGACTGACTGAATGTGCGCGTGGCTCTTGCCGTGCATGCGCATTCAGCTGATGACGTCCAAAGGAGGAGGAGAGTCCCCAGTGCCGAGAGAGCACGGCGCTGGAGAAAGGTAAGTGATTTAACCCCTTCCTCTCCCTTCAGCCTGTCGGGAGGCGGGCCATGAGGGTGGGGGGGACCTATTAATACTACAGTGCCAGGAAAACTAGTTTGTTTTACTGGCACTGTAGTGGTCATTTAAGCCTAAATTTTGAAATTGAAAAGAACCCTGGTTGTCTCTATGACGTTGTTACCCTGTGGTCAAACTCTGGCCCTATTATTAATCATT